TTATGTAAGGAATAAGATTGTTCCTCTTCACCTGCTAAGATTAGATTTAATATAAATAATTCCATGTTGGATGCAGCTGTTGATTTGGAAATTGAATTGTTTTAAGCTGACATTCTGTACTGCCTTCTACAGTATATGAATTGTGGGGATGTTCGTAAACCTTTCATGTGAGACTTTTGAGCTCTTGAGAGGAGGAGGGGTGTTCAAAAAAAGTTTCACATGTTAATTGGACATAAAATACAAAAAATGTACCTTAATAAAAGTACCAAATACAAAAAATCCAGGATTTTTGTAAACTTCCTGATACTGTGGAAGATTCATTCATCTGATGAAAGTAAGCTGGTTACTCTTTCGTGTAGTGTGACCACAGAGCCATTGTTCTTTAAACAATCTTCCACTGAAAGCAGTAAAAGCATTAAAAGTATTTGGGCATAATTCACTTTCAGAGGATAATAAATACATGTAAATAGTAGAGACACTGAATCAAGATTCTAAGTTCTTAAACTGACTAGAATGATTAGAGTGGCCCCTTGGTCTTAAGCTGAAGTAGCCTGGGCTGCTGCAAACCTGTGCTTTCTGTTGTTGATACTGGTGATCATGCAGTTGCACAGTGAAACACAGCCAAGCTTCTTCTAAGCTCATATTAGAAAGAGTTTATACTCCTAAGAGCTTAACTTGAAAAGTACTGGGGGACCTATGCTGGCTCTTATTGGTTCAGTCTCTACAAAAGTTTTTAATGTACATGTCACATGACTAATACAATTTTCTGTAGATGATACTAATAGTTTCAAGTCGTTACACCAACTGTTGTCCCTTAAAGCAGCAATTTGTTTTATGCAATTTCAAGTAACTTTCAACAAGGCTTTCCGATGATAAAGCACGGTTTGTTACTCTTGTTATTCCTCAGAAAGGACTGTTTTGGGGTTCTTAGCTAATGCTTATCACACGTGGAAGTTGAATGTTGTGATGACACTGTGTCTAAAATACAAATGACTTTTTGGAATAGTGAAGGCTGGTGGTTTATCTGGGAATCACTGGCAGCCCGTATACAGCTGAACTGATAGAATTGTAGAATCATTTATGTTGGAAAAGACCCTTAAGATCCAGTGCAACCGTAAACCTAACACTACCAAGTCCACCACTAAACCATGTTCCTAAGCACCACATCTACACGTCTTTTAAATACCTCCAGGGATGGTGACTCAACCACTTCCCTGGGCAGCCTGTTCCTGTGCTTGACAATCCTTTTGGTGAAGAAATTTTTCCTAATATCCAATCTAAACCTCCCCTGGTGCAACTTGAGGCCATTTCCTCTCGTGCTATCACTTGTTACTTGGGAGAAGAGACTGACACCCACCTCGCTACAACCTCCTTTCAGGTAGTTGTAGAGTGTGATAAGGTCTCCCCTGAGCCTCCTTTTCTCCAGGCTAAACAACCCCAGTTCCCTCAGCTGCTCCTCATAAGACTTGTTCTCCAGACCCTTCACCAGCTTCATTGCTGCTCTTTGGACATGCTCCAGCACCTGTGATGGCTTTACACAGATCTGCATTTGAAATGTGGTGGAATATTTAAGGTCATAAAAAGAAAGAGTTGAGGATTAGGATTTTTTAGGCATGTAGTTATGACAACTGGGCTACAAAGCTTTTAATAATCCATTGAAATCTGGCTGATCCACTGGGTGTGATGTGTCAGGCTTTGTCCTTCATATACATTGCTCTTTTACTGGTAAGTTGGGGGGAAATTTCCAAGGTTAGCATAGGGTGCTAGGATGACTTGAAATAGTTCTAATTCTGTTCCTTATTACCCTTTTCAGCATAAGAGTTCAGAATGGACACTGTAAAGACAAGTTCAAAGATAGTTCTTTCATTGGTCTGGAGATAAGATGCTTCTTTTCTATGAAGCTCAGTTTATTAATTATAAAGCTGATGGACCAATTTAGTTTTTTCTTATATTAAAGCAAGAATTGTTATGCTAATTATATTCATTTATTGGACACACAGGTAACACTAACTGTATTTTCCTTTCTTATGGAAAACTTAACTGTTACACTACATTTGGAGTGACTACAGGAACAAAACTAAAGATGTTGCTCTTAGTCCTAAACTACTAGCTCTTTGTCATTTTGATATCTTCTGAGAAGTGGTAGAAAGCCAATTCTAACTTCCAAGTAGTGCTCCCAGCCATTCTTGCTATTGCCCCAACCAGATAACCAGTTCTCGTTCACTGGAGTTAGCAATGTGTCAGAAGCAAATGGTTTCACAGCTTCTGAGGAAGCAGGCTTCCTCTGGGAACTGTGCACATGTGAAGTTTTATGTGAAGACAGTGGAGGGAGAGAGATGTTTCAATTTTCAAGAGCTCCCTGAAGCACCAATCTGGTTTGGCAGTACCATAGCAGGGTGATACCTTGGACAAGCCCTCTGTCTCAAAAGCAGAACTTTCTACTTTTATTCTGCAGTATTTGTAGGAACATGTTGGGGAAAAGTATAGATAAATCAGGTTGGACTACATCTAACATGCAGATTAAATAATTTTTAAAAAGTCTAGAAGGGACCCCAAGAGGTTATCTTCAAGTCATTTTTAAGAATGCCGCTGTTGTAGTAGATGACTGTCTGACTTGTTCTCGAAGACCTTCCATCAGCCAACTTCAGTGTCTGCCATTCCTTAATATATTCAACTTTCCATCATGCTGGAGTTCAAGTCTCTGGAATAGAACTGTACATTGTTTGTCATGTTGTAGTATCACCGCCATTATGGAAGCTGTGGCTAGGTTTGGTCAGCTTCTGAATAAAATTACTGTTGGTGGGAGAGTTGTGTTGCATTGCATACCCTGTATCTAAATCTCATGGCTCTCAGGAGCTTGAATGTATATAAAATTATATAAATAAACTCCTTTCTGAAAATCAAAGGATCTTACTAGCAACCCTAACTCTTAACTTGAATAACTGTTTTGGGCATTCATAACTGTAGGGAGATATAATTT